TCTCCGACAGTAAAAGGAACCACTTGGACTTGATTATGCAGCTGGTCACATTTTATTGAGACACTGACATATTCCCCGTGGTCTGGGAAGAAAAGGAGATTGTATCATTGTGAAGTTTTGCTGGGTCAGTGCTCTGCCAGGGGATGCAGGGTTATATGCAAACACTTTCAAGGTGAGGGATTGTCTTTTCACCGTTTTCCTTCCGCTGTGGCTCAGCATCGTAACCTGCTGGAAAATGCAGGGCACAGCTGCTTGGAGCTGTTTCTTCTCTTGCATTAGGAGAAAAGATAGAAAAACTCTTCGTTAAATAATTAGATTTTTAAGCTTTGAATAAAATTATATTCTCTTTGCTGTATTGAAAGCAGAGGCTGAGATATCCTCGTACGTCCAAAATAAAGGTCAAGGCATGCAGTTTATTTTAAATGCTTTAAATGGTATTGTATGAATAGAGTTTGTGATGTTATGAATGCACTTAATCCTGTGTACCACAGAGGAAAACCTTTCTCTTGTGACTGAAATTGAGCAACTGTGAAAGTTAATAAGAAAAATCTAGTTGTGGGCATGTTATTGATTGTGAAAGAAAACGGCAGCATTTTGAGAGATCATTTTTCAAACAAGAGATCCTTTAATAATAATAATAAAARAGGTTTCCTCTGTAGATATCCTCATTGTGTATATATTTTGAAAGARCTGTTATTACCAACAGCTCATCTGTTGAAAGCAATTTATTGTAATATAAAGAATAAATTTATGAGAAGTAGATCAGTGCAGTTTGTTGTAAGTATTGGAAGCCTGAGAGTTCAGTGTTAGRGAGATGCCCAGAATATCCAGAATGTGTGAAGACTGATGGTCGATGTGACAGAGGACATTTCGTAGATCAGCTTTGTGCAGCAGATGCTGGTGAGTTTGCAGTGTAACCTGAAGAGCCTGAGGTGGTTCAGGATCCTCATGCACCATGAGCACGTTTCTCTCACCTCCTGATAAATATTTATCCTCTCTTGGACCTGCTTTTTTTTATATTATTATTTATTTATATATTTTGGGAGCAGCAAATTTGTGGCCGTCAGTTCAGACCACGGGAAATCCAAGCGGGCAGGTTGGAGCCCAGCCCAGTGGAGCTCCCTAATTAACAGGAACATGTAATTAAAATTTAAGCAGATGTGGCTTGGGCAGGTGGTATTTCCTGAGTGTTTCCCGTGTGTGCACACTGTGTGTGATGGACACAAATAACTCCTCTTCCTGCCAGTGTGGGAAATGCTGCTTTGTTTGCCGAGCCTAAGGACTGAAATGAGCTCTGAAATCCTCAACACCTGCAAAAATTTCTAAAACTCAGCCTGGACAAAGTCTGAGGGTAAGGAAAAGGACATTTCCATGGGAGGACGTAAATGTAGTAACGCCACATGATGTGTTTCTTGCATTCTTTTGTGATTATCAGTGCTAGGAGCATCACATTAGGCACAAGAACACTTTGATCTGATGTAGCTTTACAGAATATGAGAAGTTGTTGCTGCTCGCAGGATTTGAGAACAACTACATAGCTGAAAAACCAACCTGTAAAATTTCCAAAATTGCATTTGTTGTTAGTTCTTATCTACAATTACCGTCGTTGCTTGATGAACGATTTCACTGAACGGGAAGAAAATAGTGAAAACAGYGAAAATTCGCAGGCAAAATAAGGGAATAAGACACTTAGACATCTAACTCTGCAAAACTGGAATTCAGATTACTTTTTTTAGTAGGCCAGGAAGWGTAGGCTATTTCCCCATGCTCATGGCAGTACAGATGGTGAATCTGAAAAGGAAAAAAAACAACGAAACCAACCACATTTGAAGTTTCACGTATTTGAGGGGAATTTTTGTCCTGGTAGATTTTTCAGATTGAATCTGTAGAATCCTTCTGCAATTGTCGGGTTTTTCTTTTCATGGGGGTTTATAGCAATTTAATAGGATTATCTGAGAAGTAATTGTGTCATACAGTGGAGTTATTCCATCTCTTGGTGGTTAGAGTGACCTGTTGTAATTTTTCAGTATCTGTTGAGTGGTGTTCCAGTGTCCCAGCTGGCTTATTTGCAATACCTTGTTCTCTTTTTGGCAAGCTGTGTCAGAAAGTGCTGTTGTAGCAAATGACTTTCCATTAAGGCACGGCAGGTCTTTGTTCCCCATGGTTACCAAATTGAAAATGAAATTTGTATATTTTGTGTGCATGTTCATTTATCTTTTATAATCGTCTGCTAAAGAACGGCCTTTTGAAGCAGCAGAGGCTGCAGAACCCCTGGCTTTATTGAAGGTGTATCTTCAACTTAGTTAAAATTATTTTTCTAGGTGTAAGACTTTGAATCTTCAATAGTGGTGGTCTTTTCATCATTTCAAAGTGGGAAATCTTTACCTTATTCGAGTGAAGTAGGGTGTACTTTCTAAGTGCAATTTTATCTGAGTTTTTTTTTTTGAGTTCAGAAACTGTTCATTTTGAGATGGAGGAAAAGGCTCAAGAAATKAGTTTATGTCCTGATCTGATGTACRTYAGTTCRATATCTGATCTGTATTATAAATCAAAGGCCAGGAATTTGTGGAAATCTCTGAGAGCATCCTATAAAGAAACAGGAATGTTCAGATTATCATTGTTACATTTATTAGTGTTGATTCTAACTCGAGACCAAATCTTCAATCTGTTCTGGCTCCACTTCATTGGATTATGTAGATTTACAGCAACTGAGATGTGCCCATTAACTTTGTAGCTATTCCCATTGAATGAACCTCAAAAAAAAACCTGAGTAAAATATTTTTTAGTGTGAGCTAGGGAATCAGAAATTTGGCGGAAGTTATCAGAGGCAGTGTTGTAAATGGAAATGGTCAATTGCATTGGTATTGATTCCTTGTGAACATGGAGCTGCCTGGGGAACTGAGAAACATCCCCATCCCGAGCTGATGCTCCTCTCCACTGCTTAAATCGTCCTGCTGAGAGTCTCTGAGCCCTGMAAGTTTTAGGCAGTAGGTTATTTGAGAATTTAAAGAGAAGACTATGAAGTGCATGAGAAGTGTTGGRATCCTTCCAGGCCAAACTGCCAAACTTTACCCTTTTCTGAATTTGGCTGGGTTTAGGAAATTCTGGTTTTGCGTGTTGTACTTGTTTTTCAATCAGTATGTGAAAAAATACTCTGAGTTCATGCATCAAAGGCAAATGCAAGTCAGTGATTGCAATAAATCTGGAAAAAAGAATCTTTCTGGTGTGTTCATAAGATTTATCAAAGTAGTCTAATATTGCTGATTTATTGTAAAATACTGTGTGCTCATAATTTGCAATTTGATTTTAACATGCTGTAAAGGCATTATGGAGTAAACAGTGAGTGTGATCATTTCTGTAACTTAATCAGATATGTTRTCACAAAAGTTTCAAAGGCGTGTTGATTTAATTATGAGCTGGAAAGTAACTTCTATTACTAAGGGAGCAATTTGGTTATTGTATCTTTTTCCTCTTTTAATGCTTAATCCCTTTTATTGTGACTGAATACCTCTGGTTGCAGTGTGCCATAACCCTATTGGCCTGGGATAAATTTCTTTAATTATTTATTCTGTTAATGTTTCTGTCACCTGAGGGAAATGCAGATATTCTGTTAATGATTGCGTTAATCAAACAACTTTCTGTRTTTCTGCACTGCCCAAGTTTATGTCATTAAGTTAGCAGGCACAGGAGATGAAATTGGAAACTTGTAATATGCTGCAGATTGGATTAAGTCATCGGTGTGCTGAGGACTGCTTGAAGACTTATTTTAGATAATTTAAAAACATTAAATCTCCAAGACAGTTATTGTTCCTGACAGGATCCCTGAAGTCTCARTGTAAGGCCAGTGTTATTGTAAAGATTTTGAACTTTGTGTGTGAGCAGTCTGGCTGGAGAAGAGCAGCCTGGGTTGCAACGTAGTGGTTTGAACAAATATGGTTTTTAAAAAAACACGGATTTCTTTGTACAAAGATATGTATATTTTGTAAAAAACGTTTGTGTGTTGGAATAATCATTCTGCCCATGTAATGTGATGGTGGGCATCAGACATTTGAATGCAGCATGTAATTTTTGAGCTATTTCTAGGTGTAATAGGTGTTGTAATTTCACTTTCTGCCTTCTTAAGGCCTTGATGTTATCTAGGGCGTAAATGTTCATTTTTCAAAGGTCTGTTCCACCACAAGATGGGTGAAGAAGGGAATGTTTGTGCTCGACTTCCATCATAAACTTGGCTTGGTGGGGCTCTGCCTGGGGTCAGTGCAGGACCCTTCTGGAAGCAGTACCAGTGCCTTTAGCCTTGGGGTATTGCAGGGGAGCCTGGACAGCACTTGGTGGGATTCTCAAATACCATTTATTTTTGATGTGTGCAAGACAGGCAGGTTTTTTTTTTTTTTTTGAAGTTCTGTTGGGGACCTTAAAGCAGTTAAGTTTAATGGCCTTTTTGTGAAGAGAATGTTGTGGACAAGAGTTTCAGGCAGTGTCAGTATCTCTGTGGTTGGAAATCAATACCTCTGTGATCCTTAATCTTCTTTCTCAATCCTGAGAGCGCAGTAGACACAAAAACCCCCAAAACACCAACTTAGCAGAATTTCACAAATACTCCATATGCCTGGAATGCATTCCATATGATTGGGTTCTTCATATTTAAAGATTGGTTAAATTTATGCTAAGTTAAATTTTAGAAACTTGATAAGCAACGGATGTAGGAATGTAGAAACAGTTACTGTGATAATTTCTGTAAGATTCTCTATTTCAATTGGACATGTTTCCTATACATATATTTTTTCTTATTTTTAATTCCCAAAAAGCAGTTGTCTTTGTCTCATACTTAGAAAAAAAAAATGCAAAAAATGAAGGGTGGTTAGATTTTTTGCACATTTGATGATAGATTTTTTATAAAGCTATGCACTGGTGCATGCTAAGGTACAAGAGTCTTGTTAGGAAATAAACTAAACCTGTGTTTACTCATGTGGGGCGTTTTTTTTTGTTTTTTCTTTTTCCAGAGATTTGTTGCAGTTCCCCAGAGAAGATGATGCYGACATTGCAATGAAAATCCTGGGTCAGTGGCGTTCCCAAGGCCTGGAAGATGTCCACCTGGTGAATTTCTCCGTTCTGCTTGACCTGCCAGGCCCTTCTGCAAACACAGTAACTCTRCAGGACAGCGGGGAATGCTTTTATCCCAGTGGACAGCAGTGCAGCAGAGACCCCAAAACAATTCCCAGCCAAGACCTCCTGCACTCGTACGCGGCTTATTCTGCMAAAGGAACTCTTGAGGTAACGTGAGCATTTGTCTCTGTCACTTGTGGGGAAAAAGAGTTAAGAAATATCCGCTTTTGTTGAACCTGACTGGAGAATTGCACACAGAATCACAGAATTATTTGGGTAGGAAAAGATCTCTAAGATCAACAATCCAGTTGGTACTGTGGTGAAATGCCCAGCCTTAAACTAAGCATGTTAATGTGAATTATGATCTGATCAATCTTGCTTATCTTAATTAAACTTAAAACATTTATTCAAACTTCTATTTATGAATAGTTAAGAGGAGATACACACACTCACACACATATATATATGTAAATACTTTTTTTAAAAAAATTATCTGTGTTTATGAATTGGCACATTTTGTTTGGTGTGAAAATATGAGAGCTGTGTCTGGAGCTACACTTTATCCTCCCTGATGTATGAGTGTTACTGGTTTGAGAGATTCTTTTAGGAAGGATGAGATGAGACTGGTGGGAGTGCTGGGCTAATACTTGGAGTTTCTGAATTATGGTCATGGATCTCACATAGTTTCTTTCATGACAACTCAGTTGACACATCTGCTCTGTTTCCTCTYGGAAACCCTGATTTGTACTTTTATCTTACTGTGGTTACTGTAGGAAGTTTTGTCAGCAGAAAGATTCTGTTTGGATTTGTTACTCGGCAAGTGAAGTACGATCTTGGATTATCTTGGTTTTATCCTGTTTACTGTCTTCACTGTCTGCTTTCCTTTAGCTTGGGAGCACACAAAGGGGCCATCATTTCTGTTTACCTTCCTAGCTGAGATAGTATAAATCTCAACAAATATTTCTGAAATTTAAAGATTKCCATTTCACTGCTAATTGTTTTATTGTTAACTTCTTCCTCTTGAAAATATCATGTATTATTCCCCTGATGCAGGGGGGTTTTCATCTGGTTTTCTTTCTTATTTAAAAGACATGTTTGTTTATGACTTAGAGCACTTACAGGGTATAAAGGAACAGATTGTGAATATAATATATTTAGATATATTTATGCATGCCTAATCTCCATGTTGAGTCTCGTGAGCCTCTGTTCTGGGACTCGGTCCAGTTCAAAGTTTGTGCTTGAGAAGCAAAATGAAATAGGCAAGAAGAGGTTCTAACCTGMATGATGAGTGCTTTAACTTCCATGGGTGAATGAAAAGTACTAATGAGTGGGACTGCCTTCTCATATCACTTAAAAACTCCATGTTTAATATGATTTCCTCATTGTAACTTAGTAAGACTAACTGTAATGAGAGAAAAGAGTGGTTGTGACCTTTGAGGTTTTATTTCATGAATGTCAATGTGTTGCTAACAAATTTATCAGATTGAAGGAAATCCAGTGTTCCGGGAAGAATCTCTGCTCTTATTCCCAGCAGTACACGCTTCACTTTTCATTCTGTTTCAGGGCAGTTTTCCCTATGAGTTCAGCAGAAATGAGGCCCACAAACACTGTCCTCATCACAAGGGCTGGACCTTGGCTTTGGCAAGACTCCAGACTTGTACTGGAGCCAAAGAGTGACTCTCTGTGTAGTTTTACAGTCAGTTCTTTGAGGTACCTCAGCACCCTTAGGGAACTTGGGATGCGTTCTTTTGTTCTGCAGAAACAGAAATGTCCTTAGATACAGAGTTCTTGCCCTAAAAGGGAAATTTTCTTATTTGTTTAGGCTACAGGTGAGTTGGGAGTGATCTAACCTTCCAATGGTCTAGCTTTCAATCCTACACAAATCTCTACTTTTCAAACTAATGGAAATAGGAAAACTTTAAATGAGAAATAGCAGGTGGTGGCTGTTGCTGGGTTCAGCCATCAGAAAGTGACTTGATTGCTTACAGTGGAGCTACAAGTCGCGTATTTTGAATATCCTGCAGTGGTTTGTGATTGCAAAATCACGAGGGTTTTCCTGTGAACAGGTATTTTTATAGCAGCTACTCATACCCTGAATAATTTTCTTTCAAATGTGGCACATCCTTAGCAGAAAATTCCTATTATGTGTCACTTAATCAGGCTGAATTGCTAATGCTGCTTCGGTGCTGCTGCTTCATTGTATCTCATTTGTCTGTTTGGTTTGCTAGAAGTTGAAGCAAATAAAACCATTAAGCTCTTGCAGTCTGGCTACCAGCAGAGCTACAGCTCCACTGTCATGTTGACAAGGTTATTTGTAGAACAGCAAGACTCATTTTCTTTGACCACCTGTCATGTCCATTCATCATACGGCCATTGTATATGAGCCATCCAATTTGTGCTTTCTGGTAACAGTCTAAACAGCATTTGTGAGTAAAAATGTGAGCATTTGTGATCTGAAATCTACTTCAAAAACCTACTTAGTGCCATTGTGATGGATGGTGCACTTTACTACTTCTCTATATTTCATTGGGCTGTGAAAAGGTGACAGTGTTTACCCATCATGGTGACAGGCAGGGCAGCTCACAGTTCTGGAGAGGGCTGTCGAGTCAGTTTTGAAATAGATATTGCAGCAGTTATGTAAATAATATGTTGTAGGCTAGGTCAGCCTGAGGAAAGGATGACATACCTGAAATATATTTTTATTAAAACTTAAATATCAGCCACCCTTTATAGAGCTTAAACCTTTTGTCTGCCTGATAAAAACAGGAAAGCTGCTGTGGCCAACAGAGTGCACATATAAATGGAAATTACATTGCTTCAAATTTATGCATTAAAGCAAAATGCATTGTCAGACGGTATCCAGGCTCCAAGTGAGGGTGCTGTGGTGAATCCCAATGTGCTGCTCCTGCTCCTGGAGTGTGGGGATCCAGGAGCTGTGGTTGTGTTGGAGGGGCTGAGCAGGGCAGGGTGTGAACCCCCCGGATCTGCTGTCCCCCTGCAATTCCACGCTGGTGGATGGTGTCAGCAGCCCACTTGACATTCATGGTGCCGATCCTCGAGTGCCCTAAAAGATAAGCAGGGATTTCCTTGGGCTTGCAGGAGGCTGGGGTGTGCTCTGGACACTGGGCAGCTGGTTTAAATCCTTCAGGAGCAAACAGACCCTCACAATGTTTGTCTGCTCCATCCACAGCTTCTTTAGTGACTGGAAATACTCACTGCTAGCAGATGTAATGGTTGCTGTGTTGGAACAACCATCAAGGACAGACTAATTACAGCAAAATGTAAATTGTATTTGCTTTGTGTTCACGCGTTTTCTGAAATGGTGTTTGTGTGACCTGAAGTTTTCCTCACTTTCCTTTCACCTTGAATTTATTCACTTCCTATTTCATGGAGGCGTTGAGGAACTTTGGGCAATCCAAAATCTACTTGGTGTCCTTTGTTAATGGCATCATCTCATGCTACACTACACTGCTGCTTCTGGAATAATGCACCAAACCCCTGTTGGTTCCTTTGCTGATTCTCTATTATGGTTTAAGGTTTTTTCTGCCCTCATGGATGCTCTCAGCAAGCCCAGCAAAACATTGCATTTTTCTCCTTGGCCTTTCTTGCACTGGACACACTGTGTTGGTTCAGGAACCAGGAGAGGATGGAAGGGTGTGAACACTGGCACGTTCTTGAAATGGGGCTGCACATGCAGGCAGGGGTGTGAGGGTTTAATGGACAGGGATGAACTGTGCCCAGCTCTGGGGCAGTTCTCCCAACACCTCACTGTGTCTGTGTGGYATTTTGGCCACTGCTCTGTCACCTCTCTTCCCTGCCATCAGCCATGTCCCGTTTCTGCTGATTTCTGTCGGAATATCTGCTGCTCTGAGGCATTTACACTCCCAGTCAGCCTGGGGTGTCTTTGATGAGTTTTGGAGGGCTGCAGTGAGCAGGCAATGGGAATGCTGCCTGCCTGCCTTACCCACTCCATGCTCGAGAGATTCTCTGCATCTGCCGGTCACGTCCCAGCCTGCTCCGGTTCGTTTGTTTTGGTGACATTTTCTCAGCTAAATGAGAACCCACCACAGAGATTAATGCAACYTGAAGCAATCTGGGAAGTACAAGCCCATCTGTTAAGCTCACTCAGTCATCTTCCCACCATTCTTCAATCTTGGCAAGATGGGAATAAGGGAAGCAGGGCTCAGATTGCTGTCAGATCCTCCTTCACAAGGAGGGGAGTTTGCTCACTCCTTACCCAATATCCCATTTTCTYATGGCTGTGTTTAGATATCTTCTCTCTCCATCCATCCATCCCCTTCCTTCCCAGGTCCTTTCCTCTCCTTCCTGTTCCTCTAACTTTTCCCACTCCTTCCAGAGTGTATCCTGCAGTCCCCTCTGCTCAGGTTTCCAGCTCTGCAGCCCTTTTTGCTGCCAGCACTGGCAACTTTTCGTATTTCCAGCTCTGCACCAAAAGCTCTGGAGTTTCTCTGGAGGGGACAGTGCATCAGGAAGTCCTTGACCCCAAACTTGCTTTCATTTGATTCGGTTTCATTGTGCTGGAAATGTGATTAGTKCACCCTTATTATCTTCTCTCTTCCCTCCAGCTAATCAGTGATAATTTCCTTAACAATATTTCAGAATTAAGATTGGTGTCAGCGGGTTGGTTTTTAGAAAATKTTAAAATCTTCCCAGGTTATTTTTATCCCCAGGCAAAATTTCTAAATGAGCCTTCTGCAGCCTGCTCACTCRCACATCTCGAATTCCAAAGGCGGAGAGTGTGTTTAATTTAGATTAAATAATCACAGCATCTCTTCCTAAGTCTTTCAGTCATTTTTGATGGCACATTGGTGCAAAATACCAAGCTAGAGGGAATCTCGATACATGTGTGCATTTAATTCTTTTAGGCATGCCAAATTTAGTTCATTATTATCTTTATTAACATTTTTAAAGGTTTCTTCTCTGAAGAGACACGCWCTAGCAAAAATGAATCCCTAGCAACTGAAATCAGTTTGCAGATGGTTAGGGCTATAGGTTGAATAACACATACACACAAATGAGAAGAATCATGTGATTTTTTTTGTAACATTTAGAAGTTTTAGAGCAGCTTTATTTATCTTTTATTTATAGAAGAGTTTCTCAGAAACCTCTTCCACAAATAATCATAATTTAGACCACTGCTCTGCATA